CTTAGTTCGAAGTATGTAATATACCTGTGCCAAAACCTATCATCATGTTGGACACGAAAGATGTGCAAAATGAATGAGTATTAACTCGTTATGGCAGTGGACATGTTGATCAATCAGAGGCGCGCTGTGATAGCGAGCGGTACAAAAGGGCCGTTTCTCGGGAATTCCCATCATAAAAGTCTCACCCACCCTTCACCCGGCACTTTTTTTAACGAATCCTAGGCAAAGTATATATTTTCTGAAAGCGGAGGACGAGATGGTTCCAAGGATTACTGTCGCGGCGTACAAGATGTTCATCTGCAAAATTCATAAATTTTTTAATGTTAAAAACTCGAAAATCTCCAAAATCACTAGGCACACCCTTCACCCAGGCACTTATTTGAATGGATTTCAGACATGCCATATATTTTCTGAAAGCGGAGGACGAGACGGTTTCAATGGTGACCATCTCCATGTAATATCTTTTCATTCACAAAAGTTATGAATTTTTTATGTTGAAAACCCATAAGCGTCCAAAAATCACTAGGCACACCCTTCACTAGGTACTTCTATGAACTTTCAAACTATTTATTCCCTAAAACCAGAGGAGAAGGTTGTTCCACAGAACTTTACTCGCTGGCGTTGCTGTGCAACTACAGAAGCTACTATTTTTTCCTTCTGGAAGTTAGTGAACCCCTATAGATCTTCTTCTTCCTTTCCGAAATTCCGAAACACAAACAATTCGTACAAATATCTTTTTTGCTTAGCCTTACCTCACTGTTCGTTTTTTTCTCGCTTTTGGTGAAAGGAGACACCTTGGTCCCGGTTCAGGAGTGAAGGACGAGTGAGCAAATTCTCACACTATCGTACCTATGCTGAAAAATATGCTGTAAATGTTGGAGTATTTCTGCTTCACATTTTTTTCAATTGTAAATTTGATTTTTTTTGCAGTGAACCGCTACGTCTGCGGAATTCTGTTGATTGCATAGCAAACTTTTACACTCAAGACATTAGTGAGTTGAAGTTTGGAGTAACCAGTTTTACATTTTTAAGAACAACTCTTGAAGTGCACCTAGCCTAAAGTTGGTTGAATGAAAAGTGAATGAAGAGTAAACGATTTGATTTTTTCCCTACATTAGTACTTTCCGTCTATTTATTTGTACTTCGAAAGTCGAATCTAACTCTTTGATCAAATGCTGACACACATTACTTAAGTGACACAAGTTTAGTCAAATCTAACTTTGACTCCAGCGCTTGCAAAAGAATGATTTTGGGTTAAGCGGCTTCAAAGTTGTGGTCTAAACATTGCTAATCTTGCACTTATAGAGTTAAAAATTTGCTTGACTCAAATTGATTTATTGGAAACAATTTCCCAGGAGTTGTGGCATTTACAGTACTGCCCAGGGAACAAGAACGCAGTCTTGTGCTATTTTTGTTGTATCCTCATAACTTTCCCTAACTTCAGCGGAATTCGGCAAATTTGTTGCTGAGGCTTCCGTCGTTACTGCGGTGTTCATGTGAAATATCGGCTTCTAAAACCCTGTAGACCTCTAGAGGAGTCTTATTAGCCTTGCCTTTTGGTAGAGTTAGAGTTTTCTTTGTGAATGTACCTCAAAGTAAAAGTGTGATTTGATAAATACGGATTTATGGTTGGTAAGGCTGTTTTGAGGTAGTGACCGATCTCATAACTTCTAACCGTTCTTACTTTCTCCCGCAGTAATCATACTCTTCTCGTTGCTTGAACAGGTTTGCCAACCGTCCGACAGCAAATCAACCTCTGCAAGACAACACTCGGTTTGCTCAAAGTTTGTTTTACAGTGCAAAGCCGAAATTTGAGAAGATCTAAATGCCTAAAAAGTCGAAAAAATATGGTGCCTTCCTTCAAAGATTTCTACGAACTTCGTAGTTGCCCTGTCAATACTGTCTACTTCAGGCATTCATATACGCATTTGCTTTTTTTTCACGTCCTGGAATGAAGAGAAACATAGATTTCTTTTCGCCAAAACTGCACTGGGCTGCTCCTACGTGCGTATCTCTATAGTATGAACCTTCGAAAGGATGAATTTTGGTTTTTCAGTAAATAGTTCTTGAGAAAAACATGTTTAGCGCAAAACCCGAAAAAGACGACTTCTTCGTTTTTTTGGTGTAAGGAAGTCCCTGAAAGGTTTTTGAAAAAGGGATACAAGTTTTTCTCGACTTTTCGAACATTTCATCTTCCTTACATTTGGACTCAGAACTTGGGCATAAAAACTTTGAGCATACCAGCAGCGGATGCTTCTTGTAAAGCTTGCTTTGCTTCTTCACATATTGCAGGAGCTATTTAAGAGATAAGAAAAATATCAGTTGTTGCAGGAGAAAGTAGAAGCGGTAATGGGACATCCTGATATTTACCTCAAGGTATCATTTCACACCAAACATTCATTTCTTAAGAAACCTTACCTTGAGGTACATCAATGTGGTTTTGAGTGTTACCTCAATGTAACAACAGTAAATCTTTACTTATCTTTTCAAAAGGAGATTCGTAAATCTAGTAAAAAAATGGTCAGAAGTCGCAGTGGCCAATCCAACCAAGCTGGGATGAGACTATCATTCCATGCAGCATTTAACGCTGAGTTCAAATCGGTACTCCTGTTCATCGCTTTTGTAGACGTTCACTGCGAGATAATCTACTTAAAAAATGCGAAATCGAGCACATTACGCACTTTTAGCCCACCTTTAAGCTTTAAAATATAAAGTAAGCTAGCTGAATGATTTAATATAGCTTCAAACCGAAAATGGCTCTGTACTGCCAAATTTGTTTTGCATGCACGATTTATTATCAAAACAGTGACCTTCAAAGGCAGCATCCAGGCAAATTTGGACCTACGGGGATCTTACGTGTATAGTATTTTGGGGCCCCAACTAAGGCACTGCCCAAGTGGCAGTGCAGGTAACTCCTAACGACTGAGATATACGCCTCCAAATTGGACGCCAGATTGTATTGCCAAATTTTCGTACCTAAATCGTATTTCGCATGCATTCGTTTCGCAACCCATCAGTTTCGCGCGAGGATCCGCGCGAAATTGATGGGTTGCGATACGGATCCATGCGAAATATGATTCTGGGGTCCAGTTTCGAGGGTAATATTTCAGCCGTTGGAGCACTACCTAAGGTGTCGGTTGAGCAGTTGCTTAGTTAGGGCCCCAAAATTGCTCCATGTGAGATCCCCCGTGTCCAGAATTGCCTGTACGTTGCCTTTAACGGCTCATAACTTCGTCGACAAAGGCGCTAAGCAGATAAGGAATACAGATATAAAGTCAGCGTTTTATGCTGCATTTAACGGTATGCGGCTCGTCGGAGTTGGCCACTTCGATTTCTAGCCATCCCCTCCCCTTTTAAGCCGTCTTTACTCCACTTTCATAAGAGACAATCGGAGCGGTATGTACCGATCTCAGGTTTGAGCAGGCGTTCCCGTGCAGGTCGTAATCCACTCAGACGCAAGCGCCTACTTCCACGATGCGTAAGCGTGCCTGACCGTGCAAGAGCCCGGTCAAGCAGCTTTGGGTAGGTTTGCAACCCCTGGTCACCTATCAGTTCTCGATTGATTTTATATTGTGTAAATTAGCTCATCTCTTCAAATAGGTGGCCGAAAATGTTAATGAATCGAGCGAGTTATTCACTAGTCAACTGTGAGATATAAAAATTGTTTAGCTTCAAGGTATTTATCTGACTTGAAATTCGATGATTTGATCTCTATTGTATATTCCAAGATTAAGTCAAATGAAATTTCAGTTCAACAAATCTCTCGCATATACTAGATTTTACTCATTATTAGTGAATAAATCGCTTGATTTACCAAAGTTTTCTGCCATATGTTCAAAGAGACGCGCTATTTCACGCAATTCATAGTCAAGCAAGATTGGATAGGTGACCAGGCGTTGCAGACGTACTCAGTTCTACTTGACCGTATTCTTACACGGTCAGGCGCACAAGCTCGCGCATCATGGGGGAGGGCGTTTGCATCTGACTGGATTACGACTGTACGGAAACACTTTAACGGGAGATAGTTACATATTGTCCCTAATAAGATTTTAAGAAATATTCATGCGATAGATAAACACTTTTATTAGACTTTCTTGCATCCGTCTTTCGTAGTTTAGCTTTTGCAGTCAGTAAAAAAGTTAGGCCAATAAGTGAAAGTGGTCACACTGTTAAGGAATTAAAGTGGAGGAAGAGCTGGCCATTATCGCGATATCTAATGTAGTTGAGTTGAATGTGTTGAAAGTTGTGTTGAGAACAGTAACACATTTTCGGCTCACATTGCACCACTTCATGAAAACCGCACTTTTTGCACTCTCACACTGTGCATGTTTTCTCTGGTAGTTAGTCAGCAATGCAGGCAAGTCCAAACATATGCAGCGTTCAAAAAACCTACTAGGACCTCTCCCCCGCGACTTGCATATACTCACTGTTGGTGATATAGTCTCTCTTCTTGATAGCCTAAATGGGGGAAGAGAAGTGGATAATAATCCTCAATTTTGTCTTTAGTGTTCAAAAGCAATACTCAAGTATAGATCGAGAAGAAAATCGCGCATGCCTTTGTGGCTGATTCTTCAATTCTTCGGAGTTTCCAGTCTAATAAAACTGCAGGTTCTCAGTGCTTGTGAATGTTAAAGTGGATATGCTCAAAATGAAGGCACACTCGAATGGTTAGTGTCCAGCGACACTAGGTGATCAATAGCCAGAAATTGGAAAGTTGTCTTTGAATACGGCGTGAAGTCGTTCCCTCTCTTTGGAATGTGGGATCAGTCTGAAGAATGAAATAAACGTGAAAGATTACGACGACATTGACATATCAAATGTAGTAGACTGAATATACAATACCGCTCACAGAATGTGCAAAATTTCCGGAATTTCGCGGAATTCCAGGAATGTCGCGAAATTCCCGAAATTTCGCGAAACTTCGCGGAATTCCTGGAATTTTGCGACATTCACGGAAATTTTGCACATTCTGTGAGCGGTGTTGTACTGAACAATACAGGTTTGATTAGCTCATTTATTGCTTCATTTAATGAAAGAATAGTTTCAAAATTTTACTACGTAATATAACAAACACCGTTGTCATCCTTTGAGTGAACCACTTCATAGAAAAATGCTACCTGTAAATACAAGCTTTGTTGTTCACCTTTAACTCTCATTTTACCTGAGCAGTTGTACAACTTGTTGATATTCTTGATGTCCGATTTTGAAAAGTACTGCCGTTCATAGTTTTTGAAATTAGGAAAAGAGTGATGCATGATAGACTCTGGGTCGTAATTGCCCATGTAGTACGCATCGGTTCTCGGGAAGGTCTTGTGATACCAGTCATTCCAATAAGGGTCCGATTTATGCACTGCATTAAGAATTGGATTGCGATCCTCTCTAAAAGCGTCTTCCTTGAGTTTAGTATTTAAAGAAACAAAGTTTCCTATGAACCTCTGATGTTCGTGAGGAAAGCCGATAACGTGCATCAGTTTATGAAGCAAAGTAGATTGATCGAAGCAATTATGCTGCAGATACATCATTGTTTTGAACTTGCCCTCAGGTGTACGAGAACCCTTATTTGTTTGACGACCGACTTCGCTCCGACACTCCGCTTTTCCATTTTTTCCACCATCATTTGAGATTGATAAGTAATACATATCACTTGGAGTTCGCGGTCGAAATTTTATGCATGTGTGCTTGCGAAATGCTTTCATCGCCAACCGCATTTTACGTCGTTCTTGAGAAGTGTATTTTGGTGACATTTCATATGGAACTTCTCCTTTTGGCCACAAGCTAAATAGAGTCCTGGTCTTGACTAGAAGCTCGGAAGCGTTTATAGAAAATCTAATACCCTGAAGCCCATTGATCACGAGGAAGCACAAGCCCTTTGAAATGGCTACGTTTGACGGCGCCCACACTTCTCTTATTAGCTTCATCTGATCCACCCAACTAAAAATAGTGTCATAGAAAGCATCAAAGAAGTCGTGATTTTTACAAGAATAAATGCTTTTTGTTTTCTTTGTTGTTAATTATGGTTATGTCCTAATTACTTTCATGATAGTTGATGTGGCATATCTTCTACTTATTAATTGCAAGCTCCATAAGATGACGTTCCAACAATTGGAGAAATCGATTTACGCGACGTTTGAAAGCAAAGTCTGAAAAAAAAACCAAATACCCAACATTTCGATCACCGCTCAAAGCGCCTCTGCAAATCTCTAATTTGGTCACCCATACACACTACACATCTGACATTCATATACAGGGTGTCCCAAAAAAATGTATCGAACGTTTGATCGTTAATATCTCTCTTCCCAAGAAGTCTTTTGCCTTGCTTTAGGTACCGTTTTGTAGAGCTGGCTTCAACTTAGATTTGCATTATAGAACGAATCATTCATTTCTTTTCATTACTGTAGGATTACGGTAGAAACTTCAAAGAGGGTTTTAAGCAATGAAAGGCCATATTTTGCCTCAGAAAGGAAACAAAACAGTTTGCAAGCTTTTACACTAGGCTAATTAAAGTTGCTGACTATAAATGTGAAGTTACCAACTTATTATGATGCTTCAATGAAAAGTTATGCTGGGTAAAAGGTAGCGGCCATTTTTTCAATGTTCTTAGAAAGTGCGGTTACACCGTTTAGAAGGCTTCTAATGTCGTGGATAGTTGAGCATTAAACTAAGCGCCATAAAAACCCTAATACACAAGTTTTCACATTTTTTTGAAAAATTTTTGTTGTGTTAGTGTCTGATCAGCTATTTTCTCGTATGATCTGCCCTCGCTGAGGCGCCTGCAGCCTCAATGCGCGGGAAATGAGCGCTATAAAAGGCGCTCGCTTTAGCCATTGACAGTTCGTCTGTTCACTCGACTGCCTCTCTTATCTTTAACTGTTCTATTATTTTCTAATAAATATTCTCTGTTCCTCGTGTGCTACCTCAGGACGAAGAGTCGAGTGTTCGACGCGGAAGACACAACAGTGGCGATCAGGATAGCGGCTACTAGCGAAGAAGTAGCCGTAACGAAGAAACACGCGCCAGGAAGAAGTCGACGAAGAAGCTGAGAAGAGCTTAACGAATTCATCGATCGACATGGCGAAAGTGGACGTCCAGGAGATGATGATGATCTTCAAGGAGATGATCAAAGAAGAAAGGCAGGAGATGATGGAGATGTTCCTGAAGCACATCGGAGGCACAAAGCAGAGCAGTTCGACGGAGGTTCCGAATATGATGTCCGCACTAAGCAATAGGATCGAAAAATTCTACTTCGACCCCGAAGCGGACATGTGCTTCAGCAAATGGTACGCGCGCTACAAAGAAGTCTTCGTCGAAGATGCGAAGCAGCTGACAGAGAATGCCAGGGTGAGGCTTCTCTGCGAAAAGCTGGACAAGGACAGTTTCGAAAAGTACCAGAGGCATGTACTCCCGAAAGAGGTAACCGCGATCAAATTCGAAGATACTGTCGAAACCTTGAAGCAGTTGTTCGATGTGAAGATTTCGGAATTCACTATGCGGTACCAGTGTTTGAAGCTGGAAAAGGCGGATTCTGAGGACTACCTCATGTATACGGGCCGAGTGAACGAATTATGCGAGAAGGCGAAGATCCACGAGTTGGATAGCGATGGAATCAAATGTCTTCTATGGATTTTTGGCCTGAAAGGCCAAAAAGAAGCAGAAATCAGGCAGCGACTCATAGCCGTACTGGACAAGGAGTACAAGGCTGGACGAAAAATGTCGCTACACGAATTGTACCTGGAGTGCGAAAACTTCCTCAGTCTCAAGAAGGATAGCGAGACTGTAGCTGGTTGCACGAAGACTGTCGAAGCAACAAGCAAGGAAGAACCCATGAAGCTGGAATGCTGGAACTGTGGTAAAGCTCACTTTGCCAGGGAATGCAAAGCGAAGCTGTGGTATTGCAAGAAGTGCAAGAAGACAGGTCACAAGGAGAAGTTTTGCGAACAAGTGGCTGAGAGAAAAGCAGTCGTTCAGCAAGATTTGAAACGAAGAATCCACAGAAGCAGCGACACCAGTAAGAACAGAAGTTGGACGAAACCGAAACGTCATGTTCATAGTATCGCGAAGATTGCGAATGCGATGATGGAAGTGAAATCGACTCGCGTATATGTAGAAGCGAAAGTAAATAGCCATCCAGTTAGTTTTCTGCTGGACACAGGATCAGATATCACCTTGCTAAACGAAGCGGTTTGGAGAAGCATGGGTACTCCACAGTTAAAAAAAATCAAGCGTGATCGTCAAGAATGCTAGCGGAGGCTCCATGAAAGTCCATGGAAAGCTATGGTGTAGGTATGAGATCAAAGGATCCAGAAGTGAAGGCTATGCATACGTGACGCCCCACAACTCACTGCTAGGACTTGAGTGGATCCAGAAGAACGAAGATATGTCCTATCACTTAAGCAGAATGGCTGCCGAAGTGAAGACAGAGCAAACCAAGGACATCGCTCTGAAGCTGAAAGAAGCCTATCCAGAAGTCTGCGAAGAAGGTTTGGGATTATGCACGAAGGAAAAAGCACACTTGAAAGTTGACGAAAGCGTTCGTCCTGTTTTCAAAGCTAGTAGACCTGTCCCCCATGCCGCACTCGAAGCCGTCGAAAAGGAGCTTGACAGGCTGTTGGACCTGAAGGTTATAAGTCCGGTGACACATAGCGAATGGGCAGCTCCCATCGTATGTGTAAGGAAAGCGAATGGGAAGTTGAGAGTTTGTGCTGATTTCTCGACTGGACTCAACAAAGCGCTGGAGTCGTACGATTATCCGTTACCATTGCCGGAAGATATATTCGCATCCTTCAATGGAGGTACAGTGTTTTCGCAGATAGATCTGTCGGACGCTTATCTGCAGATCGAGTTATCAGAAGAAGCGAAGAAACTGGTAGTGATAAATACGCATAGAGGATTGTACCAGTACAATAGACTGCCTTTTGGAATCAAGACGGCACCAGGGATCTTCCAGCAAATCATGAACAAGATGGTGAGCGGATTGCGAGGGGTAGCAACCTACTTAGACGACATCTTGGTCTGTGGAAGAACCGAAGAAGAACACATGGAGAATCTACTTGCTCTTTTTGCAAGGATAGCCGAATATGGATTCAGGATTCGTCTAGAGAAGTGTTCTTTTGGTAAGCCAGAGATACGATACCTTGGCTTTATAGTGGATCGAAATGGCCGAAGACCGAATCTAGAGAAGATCGAAGCGATCAAGAAGATGGAAGAGCCGAAAAGTCTTAGTCAACTAAGGGCTTTCCTTGGCATGATAACGTACTATGCGGCGTTCATGCCGAAGATAAAGGATCTTCGTGGGCCATTGGACGCGATGCTGAAGAAAGGTGCGAAGTGGGAATGGACTCGAACACATCAAGAAGCATTCGAAAAGCTCAAGGAAACTTTATCAAGTGAGCTGAACCTTGCTCACTATGATCCGAGGCAGAAGATCGTCGTGGCAGCGGACGCTAGCGACTATGGGATCGGATGCGTGATATCGCATAGATATGCCGATGGATACGAAAAGCCAATTGCACATGCATCGCGGTCTCTTACGAAAGCGGAGAAGAACTATTCGCGGATCGAAAAAGAAGCATTGGGAATTGTCTTTGCTGTCAAGAAATTCCACAAGTACATATTCGGACGAAAGTTTCTACTTCTGACGGACCATCAACCACTGCTAGCCATCTTCGGTGATAAGAAAGGAGTTCCGGTCTACTCCGCTAACCGACTTATGAGATGGGCTACAATTCTACTTGGATATGACTTCGACATAGAGAATTAAGACTACGAAGTTCGGACAAGCTGATGGCTTGTCACGGTTGATGAAGAAGAATCAGAGTCCCGAAGAAGACGTCGTAATAGCTGCCGCTGAGAACGACGTAGACTACATGTTGAAGAATTGTATTAGGAAACTACCAGTGACAGTGTCAGATGTGCAATCCTACACGAAGAGGGACCCAATGCTACAAAGAGTGATGACCTACGTGAAGAAAGGGCAGTGGCCAGACACGAATGGAGAACTGGCACATTTTCGAAATCGAAGAGGGACATTGTCAATCGTGGAGCAATGTCTGAAGTCAGCCGAAAGAGTTGTGATACCCAAGGAGCTTCGAGGAAATGTTCTAAAGGAACTGCACAGTGGTCATCCAGGGATTGTAAGGATGAAGAAACTGGCTCGAAGTTACGTCTACTGGCCGAATATCGACAAGGATTGCGAAGACTTGGTACGAAGATGCATGAAATGTCAGGAGTTAGCCAAAAATCCGACGAAGGTACCATTAGAAGCGTGGCCGGCAGCGACTCGAGTGTGGCAGAGGATACACATCGGCTTCGCTGGACCTATGCAAGGAGTCTTCTACTTGGTAGTAGTAGACGCATACAGCAAATGGCCTGAAATGATCGAGATGACCAATATCTCGGCTGCGAAGACGGTGAAGGCTTTGAAGAACTTGTTTGCGAGGTATGGATTACCGCAAACAATAGTGAGCGACAACGGTACGCAGTTCACGTCGGACTTGTTTAAGAAGATGTGTGACGAAGGTGGAATCACGCATATAAGGACTGCTCCGTACCACCCTCAATCGAATGGACAGGCAGAGCGTTTCGTTGATACGCTGAGACGCGGAATCAAGAAACTAGAGGGGGAGGAGAGGCCAACAGAAGAGACTTTAAATGTGGTGTTACAAGCGTACAGGACAACACCAAACACAAATTTGAACGACAAGACGCCAGCAGAATTGTTTCTAGGCAGAAACTTGCGCACAAAATTAAGTCTGTTACTCCCGATGACAGAAGATGCAGAAGACCCACTCGCACGAAGGAGACGGGAGCGCATGAAGGATCAGTTCGACCAGAAGCATGGAGTCGTTCGAAAAGAATTCGAAGTTGGTGACCTGGTATACGCCAAGCAATGGAAGCCACTCCACTTCCATTGGATGAAAGGAACCGTGATGAGA